TTGGAGTACATAACATGCACTGTCTCTATGGCTGAATAAAAGGTCATGACTGACCAGCTGGTAACACAGAATGCATTTTTACACTAATGACAGGGTATTCTAGCTTTTGTTTCACATTACAATGACTACATATTTACATAAACCCTACATCTGTTTAGTTAAATTAAGCCAGAGGGTGATGATCTTTGTCTTCGCAGAAGAGCTGATTTAATTTTATTGAACATAGCTTTCCATTTAAAAGATCAAAGTCAGTGCAGCCCCCTGCAGCAACAGTTCAGTCTTATGTGTTCTTCAAATATTCAGATTAAGAAAATAAGGGAACCAGGACTGAAAAAGCTAATGAATTTTAACAGACAACTAGCAATTATTCATTCCTTAAAAAAAAAAAAAAAAAGAGAGAGAGAAAAGAAGAAAGGAAAATAAATATAAAAATAAAAATACAACCTCTTTGGGGCCTTTGTTTATCCTAAGCTTGAAGAAAGACATTTTCCCCTCCATCAAAGTCTCATGCAGTGTCCTGACCATCCTGCCTCTGAAACTGTCAGGAATTGACAGTGGAGGCAGCATGCACATTTTTAGGCAAATTTCTAGAAGCCAATAATGCTATGGGGAGATTACAAAAATGCGGAACACTGAAGAAAACCTGGTGGAGAACTGCCCTCTCTAGGTGTCATGGTAGTTCCAGGCACTCAATACAGTGAACTCCTACTTGATAAAACACCAGTTTGTGTATAAAGTCACTTGTTACCTCTACAGAAAATAATGATAAAAATTATGACTATGAAACTGTATGTGTAGTAGATAAATATTTTGTGTCTTCTGAAAGACCGTGCATGTCATCTTCTAGCATCTGAGTTCAGGGAATTAGTCTTTGTCTTGCAAACTTTTATTTTTGGGAGGGGAATGGCTGAATACCAGCCTTACATTTCAATGCTGAAGTTTGCTTACAAGTAGTTTCCGCAGCACTCACTACTCCCAGCACTGGATGAGCACCATGGTTGCACTCCATGCTACGGCAGGATGTGGCCAAGCACGCACCAAAATCCACTCTTCCCAGCAGGAAGGTGGTTACCCCCTGCAGGAAACCTGACAACGTGGATCAAACATGCCAACCATATCCTGGGCTGCATCAAAAGAACTGTGGCCAGCAGGGCAAGGGAGGGGATCCTGCCCCTCTACTCCACTCTCATGAGACCCCACCTGGAGTACTGCGTCCAGCTCTGGAGTCCTCAACATAAGACATGGACATGCTGGAGCATGTCCAGAGGAGAGCGACGAGGATGATCTGAGGGCTGGAGCACCTCTTCTATGAGGAGAGGCTGTGAGAGTTGGGGCTGTTCAGCCTAGAGAAGATAAGGCTCCAGGGAGATCTTATTGCCGCCTTCCAGTACCTAAAGGGGGCCTACAGGAGAGCTGGGGAAGGGCTTTTTGCTAGGGCGTGTAGAGATAGGACGAGGGGGAATGGATATAAACTGGAAGGGGGCAGGTTTAGATTAAACATTAGGAAGAAGTTTTTCACTTTAAGGGTGGTAAGGCACTGGAACAGGTTGTCCAGAGAAGTTGTTGAGGCCCCATCCCTGGAGGTGTTCAAGGCCAGGCTGGACGTGTCCTTGGGCAACCTGGTCTCGTGGGAGGTGTCCCTGTCTATGGCAGGGGGGTTGGAACTTGATGATCTTTAAGGTCCTTTCCAACCTAAACCATTCTATGATTCTATGAAAAGGAGCTGTAGCATATTCCAGGTGAGCCGTCGGTCTGGCCACTGAGGAAACCAGACCCAAAGTCTGTTTTGGCTCCAAGGAAACTTTTCCAAGAGACACGTGTTACTTCTACATTACATCTACGTAATACAGCCATGTTAGCACTTCAGCTTGGATCAGGAACCCACTTTTGAAGTGTTCCTCCTGATGGCCCCTCCTCACCAACGCTTTGCTTCATGTTGTGGAACAGTCCTGGCGTCAGCGAACTGGAGTCCATCCAGACACAGATGTAGTGTAGTAGCACACTTACTGCATTACAGGCGACCAGAGTAAAGCTGGTCTGAAATAAATCTCTGAAATACATGGAGGGCACACACTGGGTCCTCTGCACCAGCTCCTCAGTGCTGCAGATCTGCCTTACTTGTTCCAGGCCACCTGCTAATATAGACACAGTCCAAAGAGGCTGCAGTGCTGCTTTCTAACCCTCTCACTGCTTAAATGGGTGAATAGTGCCATTTTAGGCACCATATGGTATCCCTGCAGGCCTCCAGCTGCCACTCTACAGATCAACAGCTCAACCAAATGTCTCATGTCATATCTGACAGCCTCACACAGACATCTCAGATACCTTAGGGAGACTAACTGGCTGTGGATGCCTATGTTTAGGCAACTGAATACCATTTTATTTAAGTATCTGTTCTGCTCTAGACTAAAAAAATGGAAGCATATGAGATTAAAAATGAGAAAAAAGGTGCTTAAAATACTATGGTGAGTTCTATTAAATAACATAACATATAACATAACATAACATAACATAACTAAAATTAAATATCTTGTAAAATTCTCTCATATAAAACTCTTGGAGATTTCTAAAAAATAACTAAAAAGTACAAAACGTTTAATTTGGCCAAAGGAAAGTATTGTTTTGTACTTCAAGAAACACCCAAACTTTACAAATATTGTTTATTTTTCAGTAAGGACTGGATTCACTGACTCTAACAGAACTATGGAGACACTTCATATCCAGTTTCTGTGTGTGTGCTTTACTGGTCCAATCCCCCAGATGCTCTGAGGACTGTATTATCAGGATCCTTGCCGGATCACATCCTAAAGCTAGGTCTGTACTAGTAAATCAGTAAATTATCGAATTACTAAATTTACTGGGGTAGTAATAAAAGAAACATGCTTTGGCATGTCCTCTACCCTGAGGATGACCGACAGAGAGCAGCCTTCATCTGTGCTAGCAAACGCCTGGCCTGCAGAGTGGGCTGGCTGCAGATGAGCGGGGATGGTCCAGGGGCTGACCACCTCAGGACCGCATGGCAGAGGCTGGTGGCCACAGGCCAGCGCTGTATCATGGGCTAACCTCCCAGTCTTACAAAACGACCACACTCCAAAGCTGCAGAAAATAAGTTTTATCTACCAAGACAGCCTAAGTTTCTGAATCCGTGTGGAATCATTTGGAGCTTCAGGTCTTTTGAGCACTGAACCCAAATTCCAGACCTCTTGTGGCCATCAAAGTGCCCAATAAAACAGTTTATAACACATGAAGCAGGTGATGTTCTTGCTGGGCACGTAATGGCCGGGGTTTGTGTATTCCTGC